GGCTAGTAAATGACGAATTTCCCTTGTTTATTGTTGTCACACTCCTCCCTATTATGTACTCCTGACGATATCGATGACTAAAATTTTCGACTTTGAAAGTTTTTAAATATTGTTTTCATATCGACGACATCGATGACTGATCGAGATTCGTAAAACTTTTAGCCGATATCGATGACATTGGTAACCGTTTGAGCACGCTAAAACGTTTGCCGATGTTGGCGTCGTCGACGACTGACCGTGATTGTTGCACTCTCTCCCCGCGCACGCTCGCGCGCGTAGGTTGTACAGAGCGGCTAACGCGCACGCGTTCCTCGAGCACGCTGCTCGTGCCGCGGCCCACCCGCCGACTCACCCTAACTAACGCTCGCCCTTCTTCTCTCCCCGCGTAGGTCGTACAGAGCGGCTCACGCACACGCGTTCCTCGAGCACGCTGCCCGTGCCGCGGCCCACCCGCCGACTCACACCCTAACTAACGCTCGCCCTTCTTCTCTCCCCGCGTAGGTCGTACGGAGCGGCTCACGCACACGCGTTCCTCGAGCACGCTGCCCGTGCAGGTGTCAGTAGGTAGAATGGTAGATAGGTAGATCGTCACCCAGACCAGATCGTCATGTGCTGCGTTTACGTCATGGCCAAGGTGCTTCTGCCGTGTCAGTGCGTTGCAGCTTGCAGTGGTGAGCGAGTGGATGGGAAAGGTAGCACGAACGATAGGTGTTCGTGGTGGCCAGGTAGATAGGTAGCACAAACAATAGGTGTTAGTCATTGGTAGGTTGGTTGGGTGGGTGGGTGGATGGGCAGGTAGATAGGTAGTTATTTCGCGATGGCCTCACCGTTACGTGTTTCGTTGCAGGTGTGTGGCCATGACAAGCCATTCCAGGAAGTGATGAGGTGTTACCGGCTACAGCCACAGGCTCAGAGCCACGTGAGTCTGTTATACCGTATGCTGTTGTTGGGCACACACCAGTCTGTCGTCAAAGATGCGACCTGGCCATTTTTAAAGGGCGCTCTCTCTCTAGTGAGAAACTTCAAAAAATACAGTAGCTATATATCGATATAAAGTTATATAAAGTATACATCGATGGAAAGTTTTTTTCTGCTGTAAAAATCGTAGTTTATATAATGTGTATAAAATTCATGATCGAGTTGAAAGGAGAAGATAAATTGACTCCCATCACACTGTCTCCTGTACTCTCTGCACTCCCTTCTCTGTACTCTCTCCCTTCCCTCTCTCCCTTCCCTCTGCCTCCCCTCTCTCCTTCCCTCTCCCTCCCCTCTCTCCCTTCCCTCTCCCTCCCCTCTCTCCCTTCCTTCTCCCTCGCCTCTCTTCATTCTCTCTCTCCTTCCCTCACCCTCCCCTCTCTCCCTTCCCTCTTTTCCCTTTTCCCCACAGACTTATTTTTAGCAGCAGTACGTGTTACAATATGGCTTCAGCCTTCCGCGTTGAGTAACGGTGTGCCGATTGCGACAACAGGTCTATCGTAGCGTGCTGCTGCGGAACAGGAGGTCCGGCCACGCCACGAACGAATCCAGCGCTTCCTCCTCCCCAGTCTCCACGGAAGAGGTGGACAAACACGAAGGTAGGCGCGCAGCTCTCTCTCTCGCTCCTCTTTTTTTCCCATGCGCGTACAAACTAGTACTAATATTTTTTAAACAGGATAATGCCTTTGCCGACACAATCGATGATCTGTTTATATTGGTAGCAATATATCACCGATATTATTGATTAAAATTTCGATTGCTGAAGGTTTTTAACTACGTTGACGATACCGATGGTTAATTGAGACGGCTGAAGTCTTTGCAATATATTATTATACACAGCTCTCTCTGTCACTCCATGTCCTTCATCCGTGTGTACAAACTCTCTTTCTCGCACGCACACCTGATGAGACGCTTGATTGAGACGGCCGAAACCTTGCAGTGTATTAACGATATCGATGACTAAAATTTCGACTTTGAGCGTTTTTAAATATTGTTTTCATATCGACGACATCGATGACTGATCGAGATTCGTAAAACTTTTAGCCGATATCGATGACATTGGTAAC